AGCAAGAAGCCTCCCAGATCTCCAGATGCATTTGAGAAATCAAAAAAGTACTCCAGAGTGTTGTTCAGCATGGGGGTGAGTAGAAAATGAAGGCTAATCATGTTTTGGCTTTAATATGAAATAAGCATTTTTGGACTAATATAACTTTGGTACCATGCAAGCATTAGCTTTATATCATCAGGAGTTACTGATGCTTTATAGCAGTGATAACAAGCTGAAGTTAGGTTTAAATTTACCTATATTTTTAAGAAAATTGTAACAAAAACATGATTATTTGAACACTATCAGAACATTTCAACAGTATACTTGCAGATATAAGCTCAAACTTCTTTTTTGCCCTAAATAATAAGCAGAAACTTTTATCATTAAATATATTAAACTTTCTTTCAATTCAAAATTCATTACAGTCATCGGGCCACCCAGAGATCACCACACTTTTAAATTAATTTTCCCTTGCCCTTGAGACGTGTGGAGTATTCACGCTTCATTTCTAAGTGACTTTAAAAAAAATTATATAATTGATATTTTGAAGTCACCATACTGGTGTTGCACTGGGTTCAGCTGACTTGAATACAAGAGAAAACATTTTAATTGCTGCAAACACTTTTTGATAACAGCTGTGAGGAAAAAAATAGCGTCCCCCTGACACAGATAAAAAAAAAACAATACTCACAGTCCAAGTCGCTGAAACTGAGAAGCAGCACAGCTGGAACATCAGGACCTGCAATGTTTACAAAAGAGGGGAGGTGATTTTTTTAAATTAAAAAAACAAATGTTTATGAACCCTTATTTAGATCATGTTAAAGTATTTAGACATATATATATATATATATATATATATATGGCCTATTAAGCAGCATTTTAACAGCAAACCCTGCTTAGAATTTTGACAAACTATTCCATTCTTGGTGAGAAATGTCCCTACAGGCTATCACAACTACATATGTTTAAAAAAAAAAAAGAAATTAAGGCTGATGCAGATATTATTAGATCAATGCTTCATCTTCATTTTGCATGAGAAACACATATGACTACAATCAATTACCTACTTACAAACCCATTTTTAAACTGCTTCTACTTTTATGGCCAACAGTGAGCCTAGGGGTGAGTATTATCATATGTGTGTTACAATACTAGACATGTCACAATACTTGGGTCACAATACGATAACATTACCTTTTTGCAAAATCACTATATATTGCGTCATTTTACCCAGCTATCAAAATGAAATGTGTAGATAAACAAAAAGCAAGTACTGTATACGTTCATCAGAATCAATGTTGTTTCTGGTTTGACTCAAGTCTACGTCTTCTACTGTGACTGCCTTAACTACAGATATGGCGCGGCGGCGACACAGCAAAAAGGTTCCACAGCTCTATCTACCATAGGTAAAAAAAATAATATATTTTTTGAAAATTGATATTAGGAACTTACAGATTGATTCAATATTGGGCAGCCAAAAATTATGAGATATTGCCAAATACCTTTTTTTCCAACAACCCTAATGAAATTGTTGTTTTAAAGAAACAGGGGTACAAAACAGTCTCCAAATAAGCTGTGAAAAATCTTTTTTCCCAAAATAAGATTTTTTTGAATTTCAGAAGGATTGTAAAATTCCACATTACGACTCCTTTTCTAATCCAGCCATTATATTCCATCAGGACATTTAAATGGATTGGATTTTCTTTAAATTTGTGTTTATCTCATTCTATTGTCTTAAATCCAAGACAATCATAAAGCACCGGGCTGTATTTTGTTGAATCTAACAGCAGAAATTATTGACCAATATTGAAATTGTACACATGTCTGCTCTGCGCTATGCTTTGGACGATGTTGTACCGGTTTTCTATGTGTTTGCAGGGTTTCATTCGCATCTTTCTTCATGGAGTTTGCAGCAGTCCAAAAACGACTGTTAATTGGCATCCCTAAATTGCCCTTAGGTGTGAGTGTGAATGGTTGTGTCTTAGTGTTGCCCTGTGATGGACTAGCAACCTGTTGGCCCCACCACCACCCTAATGGTTTAAGCAGTAGAAGATGAATTGATGGAGTGCCAACTGTAGTTTCCGCCATAGCTTATCTAATAAGTGGTAAAATATTTCCAAGGTAGAAAAAATAGGAGGAATTTGTCATTTGTGTATAAGCACAGATCCATTTACGTAGCTTGGTTCTATAGAATTTGAAGGCATACAGACAATGCTGGCCTCGTTTCCAGGCTTTAAACCCAATGAAGGCAGTCATTTCTCTGAATAGCACTACCCTGGGCATATTTGGTTAACCATCTAAAGAACTTATAATTGCGAAAAGGGGTGACCTGGATGTTACAAGTAAACCAGAGGAAATCTTGGTAAGTTCTCAGAGGTGTAATGTGATGATTACCTTCCAACTGAATAAGGTCCAAGGTGACTTGATTACATTTAAAAAAAACTAAAAAAACGTTTCTTTCTGCTTCCGTTTCTACCTAAGCCTGAGCTTTGTCCCTATGGTACAAGATCAAGCTTGGTTCTGGTTTGGACCTTGCAAAGGCTTCGTCTTTCCACCAATCTCCTTTGTAGTGTTTAACCATAACTCATTTTTGAAAATAAACATTTCATGATAGGTGACTGGTCTTTCTGGGTCACAAGTGAGCCTTCTGGGGGTATTGCAGAGCTCTTAACACATCTATGTTCTGACCCTTCCTGTCTTAAAAAATAGATTGTGCAGAAAAGTACATCCACTATATAGGAAAGCTTGACTCAGCCCTTGAGATAAAAGTATGTTCTCCTTTATATGGGAGTCAGCTGAGGTGGTTCAGGCAATGCATAGGATGTCTCCCCAAAACCTTCGTTTGGAGGTCGTCTGGACATATCCCACTGGGAGCACACTCCAATGTGAACCCAGCACTTAGTGGAAAATAACATCAGATCCTCAGGACAATGTCACCCAACGGATGTCTGCTTTCCTACATGGATTTGGTGTCTCAGTTGTCCTCTTGGAATATAGGAAACAGAACCGATTACTCAGTAGACGAGTCACTGGCTATATTTGACAAGTAGATATTTCAAATTGGTTGGTATGGATGAGTAGGACTGTAGCTTTAATGGGGGTTTATCAGGAATCTGTTCGATTGTTTGAACTGTTGAAAGAGTTCAAAGAAGTTCAGATTTACCCTGAAGCAGATGACAGACCAAAGTAGCAGTCATCAGCAGAGCTACTTCTGACAAAATTTGCATTTGCTTTTCAATAGAAAGTACTCATACATTTTCAATAAACCACCTTTAAATTTGATTAAGACACTTTCCTTCAAACAGATCAATGTTCATTCAACCAATATATTTGAAAGGAGAGGTGAATAACTAAGACCTTGACAGTGGAGGATGGCATTTTGAGCATTTGGACTGATGTCGACGTCATAGAACTTGCACCCTTCCTTCAGTCTACAGGTGAGGCATCGCCTTGAAGAGGAACCATCAGTCGACAAACTGCAGGAGAAAATTTGGACAAAAAAGTCACCCAAAACCATTTCTGAACACGGTGAAACTAACTTAGAGAGCAATGAAAGGGCTTTACCTGTATAAATGCCTTTGCTGTGGAGCTTCCTCTGAACTCAGGAAGTATCTGTGAAGAAGATAGTACAGTAGCATCAGTTTGGAAAAGAAGCATTCAAATAGGTACAGAAAAAATGACACCGGGAGCACAGCTGGATACTTGCATGATATTTTTGAGCTCGTCATAAGTTACGATTCTGACCACGTCCCAGTTTCCATATGTTAAATGGCGAACTTCAACTGGCTCGCTTCTTGACTGGAACAGAAAAGAAGAACTTTTGGGAAGATGTTCTTTATTGATAAACACAAACTCTTCTAAGGGGAAGGATAAAGAAACAACAGATTAAACTAATTCATGCATAAATACACACACACACACACACACACACACACACACAACCCCTCACTAATATTTAGTTGGAAGTTCGGTTGAAGGTTTTTGCAAGATGGGAGAGTTTGCTTAAAATTGGTGGCCAAGATTTTAAGGCAACGCTAATACCTTTTACAACAGGTTGTAGGTCATGTCTTCAGGACAGTCAGAGGCTAAAGGGCAGATTATACTTCTGCAACTGCACACATTAATGTCGCTTGGGTCTGGTCACAAACCAGTTTTGTTGGTATGCTTCTGGACCGTCGGTCTGGAATTTCTAGGAACGCACAGCAGTTTTCCTCCAAAGTGCAAGGGCCTATTTGAGAACTCGCGAGAACTTCGGCAGATGGTCACAAGAACTTCCTTTTTGGCAGAGACCTTGGCAACTTTATATAATTTGTTTGAGGCATCGTACAAGTGGTTGTACTTCCGAACCTCCTCGATTAACCTTTAATCGTAGTTATCCATTGTAGTTGTTCCTTGGTTTTTTCTAAATGGCGCGCCCCGGCATCGGATCGAGAAGGAGGACCACAAAGACAGCCGGAATGGCATACCAAGGACCAACCAAAGCTGCTTTTTGTCTGCGCACTTCCGCTTGAGATCTGCACAGGATTGCGACCGTCCGACGCATAGTCAGGATTTTTTTGAGGTGCGCAACAACGGTTGCAGAACCTCTGCGTGGGGGGTGTGGTCGTGCAGAGATACAGATTTGTTGGTGTGCAGAGGCTATGCCTCAGAAGCACAAAGTGGCCTTTAAAGTGCAACTAAACCCAATATAAAAGCATTACACTGACCTCAGGCAAAATTTGATAGAACAAGTTATACAGTGCTAACCTACATTTTGTAGGTTAGCACTGTAGTACTTTCCGTAACTTGACTCGCTAGATTAGCATGTCTATAAAATAGACATTTACAGAACTTTACCGTAATTTTATCCAAAATTCCTTCATTAGTGCGAGTCAAATACATAGTTTTATATGAAATATGGCAAAATTTCAAACGTTTATATAAAAATGCCCAGTAACATAAATATAGCACCCTCAAGGACCTAATAATACAGTTTGAGTTACCATAACTTTTCTCTACATGGTCAAATTACCAACATTCTGTCTTGTTTGACCAAATTATTCTTGTCTGTTTAATGTGAAGTTTTTCTCCATTTTTGAACTAGAATTTTTAGATTTTTACAGCAGGTTTATCTGGCTTAGTTCTACCTTAAGAGTGACGGCAAGGTCAAATTACACCTAGCAGCAGAATACAGGTTGGAAACATGAACATGTTGCCGTGAAGGGATTTGATTTAAATTACAGAAGAGGCAGCTGCTTTTTGTTTGAAAAAGCAGCTGCAGTGGACTGACTGGGATTAAAATCAAAGCTCGCAATGATAAGATCACCCTGAAAATAAATCCTTTCTCCTGCTTCGAGACTTATGATGTGGATATTTCCGACTGTTTGAGGACAGGAATGGAATGGAAAGAGCAAGGAGAAAAAAGAAGGTATATTATTAGTCACCTTTCTAGAGAACATGGTGATGTGGTGGACGTCTGTGTGACCTCCATGTTTTACAGGAAGAGTGAGGAAAATCTTGCTCAGGTCCTCAGAGAACAGCGGCTCCTGACTCTGTGGGGAGAAATGGGGAAATTGACACACTTTCAGTGAATGCTGCCAACAAATATGTGGATACTATGGATGCTACAGTCTTTGATTTAATTTCTATAATATTTTTTAGTGATTTTTCATAAAATTCACTAAAATGTTTTAATTAAGTTATCAATGCTGTTTAGTTTGAGAAGAAAACCTTTAGATTTTTCTTCATTTGGGCAAATTCTGCAATTGTTTTGAATTTTCAAGGTTAAAAAGAATCTTTTAGATCTGAGAGGATCTTTTATTCAGATAGAATAAATGAATACTGATTCGCATCTCTCTGTCTACACATCAAATAGCTTTAACTAAAAAACTACTTTAGAATTTAAATGTCTTTATTTACCTGCCTGGTAAGCCATGTCTCTGAGGTCTCTTCGTGTCTCTGAAGGGAAGAAAGAAACTTTAATCCACAAGATTAAAGTTTTCACATGTGTGCAAGGTTTGAATAAAGATAAGTTCAAACAAAAGTTTGTACTTTTCAGGCAAGAGAAAAAAATAAACACATAGATACAAAATAATGATATAAAATGAAAGGAAAAAAGAAATATCAAAATAAATTTAAAAAAAGTCTCATAAAATGTCAGAATGATATTTTTTGTTAAACTACTTTTTAAAATTATTTATAAAAGGGGCATAAATTAGCTGAAAAGATTTTAATATTTCAAAAAAGGTGAAAAATAAGGTTACAATTTACCCATTTTTATGGAGTAATGAGTAAAGAGTTAACATTTTATTTTGGAATACCCTTCTCTTTTATCTGCTTTAAATGGATTTTAGACAATAACAAAAAGCTTTTAGACCTTCAAACTCAACTAAACAACACAACACTTTGATAGAACCAGAAGAAAGATGCTTCACAAAAACCAGGTATTGTTTAATAAACATTAAAAGTTGAGGAGTTTGCTTTATTTTTTCCACCTTTGGAGACGTTCAGAAAACATTTAGCGCAATAAATACTCCAAGCCTAATAAAACCACTGGAGAGGCTTTCTGCTCTTGTTCAGATATTAATTTTTTATCCAAATGTCCTCAAATCCATGAAAGAAAATACATCTTATTTAGTTTTTTATGATTTTTAAAACACAATAATCTAAAATTTAAGTTCAAAGAATTGCCCCCAATTACAAATGCATGAAAGGAAACCAACCTGGTGACAGACTCCAGTCGTGGCCTCACACACCGTCAGAAGTGAGGCATTCTGAGGACGGTTGACCCACCGCACAGCGAGGCGCGTGTGATCAATCCACTTCACCATGGTTATGTAGAAATCTCTGCAGATTGTGGAAAGGAAAAACAGAATAAGAGGACTGGATGAAGTCACGCTCCCATGCGGTGTGGATGCTTTTGCTCTGTGTCGCCACCTGAGTCTCAGCTGATCTGGAGGATGCAGCTCCTGAGTGTTCGTAATGCCAAACAGGTTGACCACAAACAGCTTGACAGTTGGGTTCCTCTGGCCTGCCTTAAGTAATAAACATAAACACACAGATGAGCCATAGGAGGGAAAACAGGAAGTTTGTGGAACTGTGAGCTCCAACAGAGCAAGAAAAGAAAAAGTCTTGAGTAGTTCCTGATATTTCCCTATTGGTAGATTTTATGTGACTAATGTGGCATTTTGGCCATCTCAAGACGGAGATTGTTGAGGGTTAATTTCTTCTAAAATAATTTCTGTTTTAAGTTAGTCTTCTTTGGGTATCTTTGACATCTTGCAGCCAGTCCCACATTGGGGACTCTCTCTGTGGATAACCTCTATTCACATGGCAGGCTGCTAATCAATCAGGCTGGACATTCCAGGACTTAAGCTGCTGCTTAGTTGTGAGAATCATCCGTGTTTATGTTAGATGTAGGAAGAAACTGTGAGTTCCTGTTATTTGAGAATTAGTGTTTGGAGCCGGATCCAGATTTGCGTCCAATATGGTATGGTCGACGTGGAAAATGAGACAACATCTGCAATTTTTACACGCCTCTCCACTTGTATCTAATATTCAATCCAACTCAATTTTACACAGCTGTGTTCTACTTTTAAAAAGCTTCTTTGTACCATTCAAGAATTACAGCAATTCAAGAGTTTTTCCACAATCTGTTGATTGTGGCGTTATTTTTGGCCTAAATCACAAGATGTCGCTCAGTGTTTATATTTGTCAACCTGCAGAGATGTGGAGTCTATTGGAGTCTGCAAATGTATGTAGGTACCCATCTAACTTGTTTATTTGTTGGTTCCTTTTACATTTTGGTTTATGGAAAATGCTTACATACTTACAGTAGTAATTATTATTAAACTACCATATTTTATGGGGTCTTTATAAGGTGCCCACGCTTTTTAGGGTACAATAAGTCATTAAAATGGGCTCCAACAGTCTGTTTCAGTGGAAACAAGATGGTGACAAGGTTCTGGACCCATCTGCTGACAAAAATTGTCAATGACGCCAAATTTACAGTTAAACCCAAAGTTACTCATAGTCCTGGTTGGTAGGGATCACTAAAACAGTCAGATACATCTTAACATTTTCCAATGATATCATAGAAAATAATTTTTAAAGACTAAGTTTTTTTCATCAGCCTTATTGGTAGCTACCTCCAAAAATTGGTGTCAAGATTCTAGCTAATCTCCAAATCACTAATGTAATTTTAAGTCAAGATGTGAGAAAAACTTCCCCTAAAACTTGACCTGATAAACTGTGGTATAAATCTACCCTTTACCTCAGTTTTACCAAAGTTTAATTTTGCATAGCATAAATTATAGCTTAGCTTAGTTTAGCTTTGGTTTACTTAGATTAATTTAGTTCTGGTTCTTTTCATTTACCTTACATTTATTTTTGCTTAATCTACCATGATTTATTTAAGTTGAACCTCAAATTGCTTATTTGAAGTTCTTCTATGATCTTAATGCAAGCTTATTTTCCTTAGCTAAATTTGTTTCATTTAAAGACACATTAGCTGATTTTACTCAAGTTTATTGTTTAGTATTTAGGTAATAATGGCCAACTGTGGTATTACATCGAATGAAAGGCTTTTAATTACCTTTATGAAGTCTTAAGAGTTTTATTTTAAAAAAGTTTAAAATATGACATGAAAGTCTTCTTGTGTCCTGTTTGTTAAAAGCACAAAGGCTACTCTCTTTAGTTTATTTTTGCTCTATGATTTTATTTTTTTTAAATCTTTTCTTTTTACAATTTCTTGTTTATTGACGTGCCTTATTGATCTTTTTTCTGCCTCCATGAGTTTAAGGGTCTAAATCCCCATCCTTTAACCTGGTGAGCCAAGACACAACTTTTTCTAATTATAATTTAATCTATTTCTATATAAATAAAAATCTGAGTCTATGAAGGTAAGTGGGTAGGTTAATCTTTTGTTTGTTTTACTCTTAAAAATAAATCTCCAAGCATCTTCAGCATCTTCTGAAAACCCCACAAAATATTATCTTAAGGTAAAAATCAAATGCAACTTTTAATGAAATGGATATTAATGTCATTACAAACACATATTTTTTTTCTTTTGCTTTATTTTTTTCCAGCCTTACCATTGGATAAGGATACTGTATTCCTCTGGGGTAAGTGCTGCCGGTGAACTGAGGCAGGGTCATGTTGGGCACCAGGGTGTCATCAATTCTCAGAAACGCTAGTCGCTCTCCATCAGGCGACCACCAGTGAGCCAAGTGTGAATGCAAAATCTCCTCTGATAAGAAAAACAAAATCTCTTAAAATCCCCTCTCTCGTCTGTAATTGTCAGGTTAGTTATGAAAGCCGCCCCCCACTGGAGTCCCATGATTAGTCAAAAATACCACCAGAGTGATAATACTTTGAAGCATAAACAAATCTAAAAGCTGAATCTCTAAATGTCCTTCAACTGCCAGTTAATTTTTTTTTCTTTTGATGCTATTGCCTGAGCAAAGCCTTCACAGCCACTTCAAGGATTGCCAACTCTTGTTGAATTTTCATCACTAATCTGTTTAGTTTGCCTCATCTGCTCTCCTGCATTCTGAATGCCAGAAACAAAGCTTTGGAAAAGCTGAGATTTAACAGTAAATTATATCCGCCGAAGACTGTGTCACTTTCAAGAGTGAAATATCTGAGAAAAGGAGAAATATCAAGATTTTGCATCCATTTAGTTCACATTAATCCCCCATTAAAGCCATAGTTTTCTTATTTTTACCCGAAACATCTGGAAAAATGTCAGAAATAAACGTACCTTCATATAACCAGTCTGCTATCCCGTTGAAGATGACTCCTTCCATCCCGGAGGAGGTGATTCTCAGAGAGCTGGTCTTCACATCTGATTGATAGTAGATGTTGTTCTCAAAGATGTAGACCTGGAGAGAAAAGAAGAACATTGAAGTTCTTCTTATCATAATCTGATGTTTGTCCACCTTGATTAGATTTTTCCAGACCACTAACCCTGTGCAGTCCTTTTGCAGTCAGCTGACAACCTATACATTTATTTCCAATCCTATGTCTTGGCTTTTTAACCACCCTAAACCTGAATACCCTAGATTGAGAGCTAGAATTATAATTAGACTAGACTATTGCTTTGTAGTAATTATATTTAAATATGGAAGTTAAGTCCCTCCTAATGTGTAACTATTTCTATTTATACGCTGCAAAAACTGATCTATAAATAAGTACAATTTTGTTAAGGAAAGTGTATTTTCTGCAAGGATTTGTTTGTGGTTAGAGGACCCAAATGCAGAGGCAGGGAGGCAGAGGTGAGTTTCTTGTGGACTTAATGAGGTGTTAACAAACAACTGAGGCAGAAATCCAAAAATCAAACATGAAAAAAGGCAAACAAACCAGAAACCATGGAGACATCAGGGGAAAAACAATCATGACAAGGAAGACTCAGAGAGACGGAGTTGGTGGAAGTTAGAGGAGGAACCAGCTCTGAGAAACTGCATAAGGAGTGTATTTATAGGAGACAGAACAAAGAGAGGACTAACGAGCAGATTGGGAGCAGGTGTGAACAGAGCAGACAGGAAAGGAGCTACGGAAAAGGAGAACACAAGAGGGCAGCAGAGGGCAACAAATAAAAACCTTAAAATTGAAAATAACCACAAAACACAACAAAATAAGATTTAAACCACTAAAACTAGAAAACATGGAGCAAAGTAAAACTGAAAACTCAAAATGAAACATAAAAGAACCAGAACTGTGACAATTTTCCATTAATTTGAGTAGGTAAATAAGATTATCTTCTCATGGAATTAGTATTTTTGCCTTTAAAATAAGGTGACATCTGAAACATGATAATTTAGTTCTTTCTGCCTATTTTAAACATACATTGTCTTATTATTTTGGCAAATTTTATTCACCTGATCAAATCAAGGTAAGATACTTGTTTTTTAATTCTATATTATATTTTTTGCACTTTTCAATTTTTCTCTCTCCCACAGGTGGATATGTTGTTTACCAGCTAAATATTCGGTCTTTAACTTCATGTTTTATTTTTTCACATATTTTATTCATGTGTTCGTCCTCTACAGATTTTTGGTCAACGTTTAGTTCGTTTACATATTAACTAGTAAGAGGGGGAAAAAAACAAGCAAGAGTTAGAATTACAGCAGTTATTTCTCAATTCTTGAGAAAGTTAATCGATCGAAGGAAATCGATTCAATCAAATATTGCGATATTTCATTGGACAGCATTTATATCTAATGGAAACACCAATGCAGAGATATTTCAATAGACAATATTAGTACTAATTCAATATACATTCTTATACAGTATGTAAAAAGATTGCCAGGCAAACATTAATGTCATTGTTTTGATTTTATATTACGGTAAAACCTCCAGTCACTAGTCAGCAGTAAAGTGCCTAAGAGCCTATAATTATTATAATTATATTTTTTTAAGAGCCCTAAATTCAGTTGCGTTTTTTTTAAATTGCCATATATTCTTTTTGCTAATGCATGGGGATAAATTGTTTCATGATAGAAATTGTGTCACATTGCTACTCTAAAGCATATTTAAAACGGTTCAAACATCACGGATTACTAGAGAAATTAATTTTGATCAGACCAAAGTCAATCATGGCAAGGGAACATGGACATCTAACTTTTTAATTCAGTTAATCC